AGGTGACACTTGCAAATATCCAAAAGTGCAACAAAGCAATATAAATCAGTCACCGTAGTGATTTGCAGAATATACATCATCCACTCTATGATCAATCCAGACTGGAGGCTTTCTGCCCCATCTCTTGGATTAAAACTGAATGCTATGGTAATCAGATGAACTTACCTATTTCTGGAAGTGTTCAATAAAACAACTCTCAATTATAGACAGGGTTTTAATTGATCCTCTCCTTATCTTAAAATAAACCTAGGTGATCACAGCTACTTTCCCTTTGCCAACCCTCCCCCCACACTTCCTGAAAGTTCCTTTTACAAAAATCTCCTCACATATGACCAGGCATTACCAGGAACCATAAATTACCTTATAGTAGACTTGAAAGTTCATTTAGGGTTCCACTTCAGGTTTCAGGAAGGGGAAGAGTCACATCAAGATTCAAGGCTTTAATTACATTCAAAATTAAATTGCAAAAGAAAAGCAGTGTCATATTTGTTATTGATCTACTTTAGGAGACTTATTAGCCCATGTGTAAGGCAAAAATGCTGAAAATTTATGTATCAGCATATGATCCAGATTTATGCTGGATCACCTGCACTGCTAGAAATGGCATTTTGTGACCATTCCTTCCCATGGCATACCAGTTTGTGATGCACTGAAAACATTACACAGAAAGTCCCTGCTGAATAGGGTGAGCTGTGGTGTAGAGGGAGACAGGATCCCCAAAAACTGGGTGGAAGAGACCTTGCATGAGCAGAGCTATTTCTGGATCTCACCCAATATTTTATAAACAGCCAGCACCACTGCCTTCAAGGGCCTTCTTGCTATGCTTCTACTCCTCTGAAATGAGGGACAGGATGGAAAGGGGCTACATCCTAATGCAGCCTTCCTGAACATGGCGTCTTCAAGGTGTCTTGAATACAACATTCCACAGTCAGATTATAGGAGTTGTACCCAATACCCCTGGAAGCCATCAGGAAGGCTTCCTTCCATAATGGAGGTAATGTAAAACACTGCCTTCTGTTTTATACCCTTTTCATTTGAATCCATCCAATACAGAACATCACACTATACACATTTTTATAGTGCAATAGCTGAACAGGGCCAACCTCACCCAGATCTTCAAGCTGCCACAACAAGCAGCACAAGCAGCTGGGTGGCAGCCACCTCAGGTGGCAAGTGGTGCAGTAGCAATGTATGGGGAGACAGAGTTCTATGGTTGGTGTGGCCTCCTCTGCACTGCTGCCCTCAGATTTGCCATCACCGGCCTGCTCATTTGCCATCATTTGCCTGCTTTGCCATCACCTGTGTCAAAATAAGACCCAATGGTCAGTTTCTGTAGATGGAATGGGGAGGTACTTCTTGCCCTTTGCTTCAGGCAGTGAAAGACCTTGGACTGGATCTGCTTAGTGTACCCATTCTTTGCAAGGGTTCTCCCTGCACCACAAAGATTGACTGATGGGCTACCACCAGCCAGGATGAACTTCCCAAAATGCTCTAATTCCTCTGGGTGCTTTGGGAGTTTCCAAGTCCCACAGCCTTCACCTTCAGCTCAGCCCTGGAAGCAGGAGGACAAAAGAATTCTCTGTCTGTGTTTCCTGCCCAAAACACAGAATTTAACAAAAGTTTTTTAAAAACCCAAGAACACCAGCAGTGATTTGCCCTTACATAGGGCAGAGTTTACTGAAAATGGTTTTTAAAACAACACAACCAAATGTCCAAATATTTAAAATAGTTTATTGGTGAGGGGGACAAATAGGGGAAGGCAACTATTGTACACACAGAATTCCAAAGAAAACCAATGAATTCAGTCTAAAGTAGCAAGTGACATGTTACCTACTTGACTAGACTCTTGGATTCCAGAGCATATCCAGAGTTCATTGCAGAGGATGGTCTGCGACGGATCATCACGGCCATCAGCTAGATGTTATATGCAAGGCTGTCCAGGAATGAGCAAGCTGTTACTTTCATGGGGATCTGAGCTCAGTCAAAGTGATCCCTTTAATGGAGAATGGCTCTGGGTTTGTCCAGTCATGTGATAGCCTTCATTTTAATGTTAGCATTCTAGCTAAATTGCTTAATAGCAGAATACACTATTTCTAACCTTTCTAAACTTGCATCTCAAAGGATGCAGCACAATGGAACTGTTAGCCTGTTCAGGCTTAAATACTTGAATGTATACTGGCAAGCAAGGTGAGAGAAGCCTTTTCAGGCATCCCAGCATGGGGCCAACTTACTAAGTCTTCAAGGGGCCACTGCTGAGGTATGTTAGAGTATAGGGGCTTGTCACATGGCCCCACTGATTCATGAATCAACTCCTGAAGATACCACAGTTGCTTGTCCTAAAGTTGTTTACAGCCAATGTTTAGACTAAGATGGTGAGGGCTTGAGACATCAGTATTTACTTTGTCTCCACTGAAGGTATCTCAAAATTGGTGTTGGAATATCACTTCAATGGGAACTTCTCCTTGTAACCTAAATCTATTTGGAAGACAAGGATAGAAGT